GTTCGATGATGTTTCTACCTTTGCCCTCTTCGACACAGGTGCTGCCGTTTTTGTTACAGCCGCCCAGCTCTGCCGCTCCCTACGCAAAGTGACCCCGCCGCTCCAGTTGAACTTCTGGGTGCCTGCACTGCCCGCATACTCATCTAAGGCTCGATGATCAGTGTGCTCGCATGACGTTATTCTCGAGTGGGACCTTCTGTCACATCATAACGCCCTCATCGACTGCGCACGCGCTGAAGTTCAATTTTCGCACCTGTGTGAGGAAATTTTGCACGAAACTCTTGATCGGTCGCCAAAACTTGTCGTCCATGAGGACACTGAAATTCCGCCAGCATCTTTTGCCATTGTGCTTGTTTGCTGTGATGACCATAACGATGCTATCGTATTGATTACACCTTCCGATTTTTTCATGAGCCGCAAAGCCGTTTCCCTGCCTTTCGCTACACTTGACGCCACTGCTGGCCGAAGCAATATTTTCGTCCACAACCCCCTTTCCACACCGCTTACACTACTTGCCGGCGAATTTCTCAGTCGAGTGGAGTACCTTGCTCCTTCTTTCTTCCTTAACATACCAGACGAATCGTGCAGTAGTGCCTCGGCCGAACTTCATGCCCTTCTCCTGCTGGAATGCTGGTTAAGTGACATCTTCTCAATTTCCATCGCCGATACCTTAAATGCTCAAGAACGCGCCGAGCTTCTTGGCCTCCTGCAGCACTTTGTGAATTCTTTCGACGTTTCTCAGCCGCAATTGGGTCGCACTTCGGCAGTGCACCACTACATTGACACCGGTTCGCACCAGCCATTCAGTCAAAGACCATACCATGTTTCTGCTGCAGAACGCCACGTCATCAACAACCAGGTGGAAGAGATGCTACGCTGTCGTGTTATTCAACCATCGCACAGTCCCTGGGCATCTCCTGTCGTTCTAGTTCAAAAGAAGAATGAAGCGATTCGATTTTGCATTGACTACCGTCAATTAAACAAAGTGACGCGGAAAGACGTCTATCCATTACCGTGCATCGACGACGCCCTTGACAGCCTCCATAGAGCCGAATTCTTCTCCTCTTTAGACTTACAATCTGGCTACTGGCAGGTTCCCATGGCAAAAGCAATTGCCAGAAAACTGCGTTCATTACCCCAGATGGCCTGTACGAATTTAGCCTGATGCCTTTTGGTCTTAGTAATGCTTTTGCCACGTTTGAACGAGTCATGGACAACACCCTGCGTGGCCTGAAGTGGTCTGTGTGTTGACGACATTGTCGTTTTCTCTCCCAATTATCCTACCCACCTGCTTCGGCTCCAACTGCTTCTGATGTGTGTAACTAACGCTCGGCTCCAACTGAACCTTAAAAAGTACCACTTCAATGTGCGACAGCTGTCCATTTTAGGGCTCATAGTGTCCAAGCATGAAGTTCTACTCTACCTTGCAAAGCTTCGTGCAGTCACTGAGTTCCCGAAACCTGCTACGCTCAAAGAATTACGAAGTTTCGTCGGACTATGCTCGTATTTTATTTTCAATGCTTCGTTTGAAATTTTGCATCGATTATGTCACCACTGACCAACCTCCTACGTGGTGATGCAGACCTTTCTTCCTGGTCTCCTGACTGCGACGCCGCATTTACAACGCTCCGTGGTCTACTAACCTCTCCTCTCATTCTTCGGTATTTCGACCCAACAAGTGCATTGGAAGTTCACACAGACGCTAGCGGGGTTGGTCTTGACGCTGTCCTCGCCCAACGCAAGCCAAGCTACTCCGAATACGTTGTCGCTTATGCGAGTCGCATGCTCACTAAAGCTGAGGCCGATTACAGCGTCACTAAAAAGGAGTGCTTTGCTCTAGTGCGGGCGCTTCACAAGTTCCACCCTTATTTGTACGGTCGCCCTTTCGACCTGGTAACCGACCACCACTCTGTTGGCTTGCCACATTGAAAGACCCTTCTGGTTGCCTAGCTCGCTGGGCACTGCAAATCCAGGAGTATGACATTCGCGTCATCTATCGCAGCTGGAGCAGGCACTCCGACGCCGATGCCCTGTTCCGTTCGCTTTTACCTCCCGACTCGGCCTGCGAAGCTACTCATACCAACTCCGTTGCATCTCTCGACTTTGACTCCTTTGCCAGCGAACAACACAAGGACCCGTGGATCGCATAGTTTTTTTACTGTCTTTCTACATCATCGACCACTGTGGCATCACGAAAGCTGCTCATTTCAGGATTCATTATCAACTGCAACACAGACGCAACTATGCCCCTGAAGGTTGTAAGTGGCTCTTGGTTGTCCCCCGCAACTTGCGATCACAAATATGTACCTCCTTCCGTGACAATGCCCTATATGGCTATGCCAAAGTTTTCAAAACTTACAAACATATTCGCCATTGCTCCTACTGGCGCGGAATGCCAAGTTTTGTTCAAAAATTAGTTATGTGCTGCCATGACTGTCAGCACCATAAATCACTGCTTTTCCGCTCATCCGGTGTGCTTTAGCCTCTTCTGTGACCTGCCGAACCTTTCGATCGGATCGGAATTGATCTCTATGGCCCGCTACTGATAACATCAGATGAAAATTGGTGGATCACAGTCTCTGTGGACCATTTAACACGCTACGCTGAAACCACCACCCTTCCAAGTGCCACTTCGCATGACGTAGTGTCCTTCGTCCTCCATCACTTCATACTACGACATGGTGCACTTCGAGAACTACTACGTGACCGAAGTCGAGCCTTCCCATCAGAAGTCTTCACAGCTCTGTTTTCTGAATGCCATGTTGTCATCGCAAGACTACATCACATTTACCATAGACTAACAGGCTCACGGAGAGATTTAACCGCACCATGGCACACCGTGGCACAGTCTACAACCGGATTTTCACCTTTGTTCTTCCTCTATGAACGCAAACCTTTCCACACCATCGACTCTCTCCTTCATACCGTCCTGACGCGTCTGAATGCCCACCTGTGTCCGATGCTACCCGACAAGCGAAAGAGTGCCTTAAACTCGCACGCACCTTTGCGTTACAAGAAGAACAGCGCCAGAAAGAAAAAAATGCTGGCTCCCCATGAAGCCACATCTATTCCCCGGGACCACTCGTATGGCTGCCTATTTCCTACCAAACCCGTGGCCTTTCCTCAAAACTTGTCCCAAGGTACGAGGGCCCTTACCGCGTTTTGGAGCAAACCTCGCCGGTGAATTTTCTAATTAAGCCAGTTTCCCCATCTGACGACATGCGCCGGCGTGGACGTGACATTGTCCACGTGGCCCGCCTTAAGCCCTACTACATATAGCCCTCTGCCTCCAGACTCTTAGGTCGCCAGGATGGCTTTTTTTCGGTGGGGGCAAATTGTGAAGAAGAAAACGCATCGTTCGCAAGCAGCATCGCCAGCGCTTGGGTACTGGGTTCTTGGCTCGTCTCGCTCGCCTCGTGCTGATCGTCGCCGCCATCTGCCTGAACGCTGCTCTGCTCCGATTGTGTTTTATTCGTAGAGCCACCGTCGGAACACACGTCAATAAACCCATTCGCACATATCAGAAAGAAAAATTAGCATGCATGTCATGACCCAACCGGCAGAGTACTCATTAAAAATAGAGACAGGGCGTGAGCACGTGTCATTCTTTTTGGTTCAAAGGAAGTGGAAGTAGCTTGTATTATTTGGAAGATTTGACCTTAGGTTCTAAAATTTACTATACTTATGGCATATAAGCCACTATAACTAGCTTTTAAATGTAAAAATGCGACCAAAACAAAAGAAGAGAACATGCCAGAACTTTGTTGCACAAATTGTGGAGCTTTTTTTTTTCTTATTAAAATGGCACCGTTCTTTCGATTCAAAGGCATCATCTTAAAATGAAAGTAGAGCCCAAAAAAGATGTGACAATGTGACAATATCTTCATTTAACCATGAAGCGAGGCTTCAGGGCATGATGTGATATGACTTTATTTAGGTCCTGAGGAGACAGATCAAGTCGGTGGCTCTGCCCACGATGGGACCGAAGTCGAAGTTCAGTCACAGTGTTGTGGGCTTTCTGGACGGCCTGAAGTTGTGTGTGAAGGCTACAGCTCTTGAGAGATGCATCCCATTGCTCCTTCGTGATGGGCGGAGAGGCATTAAGGGCTTTGCACAGCCAGAGCATGTGATCGAAAAAACATGAGTCATGGCCTTATTTGGGGCACGACTGTGAATGATTGGGGTCTATCCGATAGCAATGAAGGTTTTTTTTTTTTTTTTTTTTTGAAAGGTGTATTCATGGTATAACACTCCCCTACTGCAGTGAAACCACCTTTACATGGGGTTAGATGCGGACTAATGTACACTTATAAGTTTGTTTTGATTACTTGAAAATTTCCAAAATTTCGATTTCTAATTAAAGCAAACTCTTATACCTTAATATTTGTTTGAATATTACAAGTGCTCAAATATCAGTGCAAGCCTAGTTTCAGCCCTTTCACGAGCAAAACAAAAGAAGAGAACATGCCAGAATTTTGTTGCACAAATTGTGGAGCTTTTTTTTTTTTCTTATTAAAATGGCACCGTTCTTTCGATTCAAAGGCATCATCTTAAAATGAAAGTAGAGCCCAAAAAAGACAGGACACATTATTTTTCAGACAATGCACCAACTCGCCCAGCAAACTAATTTATCAATGGCGTTCCTTTATTTCACTAATCGTGTAGAAGCCGATAACTTGAAGGTGGCTTCACCGCATGATATTACAATGAAAAGTGCCAATAAAATGAAAGACGAGACACAAATGTCTCAACATGAACAAGTGTAGCCATTTAGCGTCAGGCAACACAAGCGTGACAAGTATCGTCTTCATTGCTTTCGTGCATAACCAGTTTTTGAGGATGACTAGTACACCATCGTTATGGATCACTTAGACAATGACATGACCACTATACCCATCGACAGCAAGAAAAGGATCAGAAATCCAGGAATACGGTGGAGACTGGCATAATGAGTGTGTAAACTGCATTTCGGGGCCACTAATTCCCGAGGTGCCACTCACGATATGGTGTCCACGGTGCGGGCATGCCGGTTGCTCCCCCAGGCGGGTATGGTGGCATGGCGGTTGCGGCTGTCAGGTACGGAGGTTGGCCTCCCATTGTTGGTGGCATCACCCCTGCTGCGGGACGGAAAAAACCTCCAGCTGCACCTGTACATGGGACAGGGGTGGAATGTCATCTTCCAACTTCTGTAGGATCTGTAGTGACGACAGTGAATACGTTCACCACTTATGTAAACCAAAGCAAACATTAGATGAAAGAAATTACTCACAAGGCGCCCAAACAAGGTCTATAACGAAGCATGCAAACTAGAAAGGAAAACAACACTACCTGAAAAAAAAAAAACCTCCGTAGCACAACTCTACCAGCCGGCAGCACTTACAACAAAATACTCTAGTGCTCTGAAACACATAAAATATCCTTCGCAAGTATTATCAAATACTGGCAAGCAACAAAGGGCAAAGTCTGTTTGGTGTCTCATACCTCAGCTGCCAGACTCTGGGGTGGTTGTTGCCAGACTGCCACCAAATTTGGCAGAGCAATTTGCCTCTGTAGTTGTGGCTTCTTCGTGAGGGTTTGGTGTCGCCCGCGGTGCATTTCGCAAGTACGTGAGCTACGTCGGCTGTTTTAATTAACGTAATGAACGTAAAACGCATGTTGCAGAAGTCGGAGTGCATTCTCTTGATGCGTGCACTGCTGTGAAATTAAGAGATCATGTCGCAGAGTTGGGGCATCAAAGACGCGTCGTCCACCGTGCATTTTGTGAGTGGTGTGGGATGAACTTGTTTGCGAGTGTGTGGGTGAGAAAGAATTGCGCATTACAGAAGTCAAGGTGCCTTCCCTTTCTGTGCGCGGAGCTGTGCAATAATTAAGAGATCTCATCTCAGAGTTAGGGAATCAATGACGCGTCGTCCGCTATGCATTTCGCGAGTACCTGTGCGATGAACTTGTTTGCAAGTGCGTGCGCGACGTAATTACCAGAAGGAACTGCGCGTTGCAGAAGTCTAGGCATGTTCTCTTGCTGTGAGCGCAGCTGTGCAATTAAGAGATTGCGTCTCAATATCAGGGACGACGGGGAAACTAAATAGTCACAGCAAGCGGTGTGCTACCCCCCCCCCCCCTTTTTTTTCACAGCTGATTATGTCGCACGACCACGCACCACAACAGGGACGCTACGCTTCCTCTAGCTGTGTCAGCACAAAACATATCATTCAGACTCGTGTACATATCAAGAATAAACGTGCCAAGGCTGGATAATTGGTGTACGTTGAACCATTGCGAGTGATCAGCGTGTAGTGAGAAATTTTTGCCATTTTATTCTTATTTACCCTATTTATTTTTATACTATGCTCTTGAGCTGAAGACAATGAACATTCATTCGAATCGTGGTCGTTAATGCTTATTGTGGGTGGGGCCCTGCAGGCGACGATGGCTTATCGGGCGGGCTCCTACTTACAGATACACGCGAGTCGCGATTCATTCGCTCCAACTGTGACGATGAAGCAGCCTTCCAAGCATATATAGCTGTAGCATATCAAACGAACCCCAATTATCCAGCTTTGGCACGTTTAGGTATTCATATGTACACCAGTTCGACACAGCTAGGGGAAGCGTAGCGTAACTGTTGTGGCACGTGGTCGATGCGGCATGATTAGCTGAGAAAAAAAAAGGGGGGGGGGGGCAGCGCCTTGCCTCTTGCGACTCTATTGATTTTCCCCATTGTTCCCAATACTGAGACACGATCTCTTAATAGCACAGCTGCGCACACAGCAAGAGAATGTGCCCCAACTTCTGCATCGCACGGTTCATTCTGGTAATTACGTTGCACGCACAGTCCAGAACCCAGAACAAGTTCATCGCAGACGGTTTGCGAAATGCACAATGGACGACGCGTCTTTGATTTTGTATGTGCAAGACACGGTCTCTTAATTGCACAGCAGCGTACGCAGAAAGAGAACGTGCCACGACTTCTGCAACGCGGGTTTTACATTCATACTGCAACGGACTCTAAAATGAACTCTTTTAATAGGTTAACGTAGGCAGGGCGAACTTGTGCCCGTGAATAATAACACAGCTAGATTGTCTCAAGGATTCACTCCTGCCTCTTCTTCTACGTTCTTCCTGTTTTTTCCAACACGGTTCGCACGCAGCTGGGTCCCGCAGGCTCGAGCGTCGCAAACCATCTAGAGGGCACAAGTATCGGCTAGCGCGCGTAATTTGAAGTCACATTGTGTCATTGCCCCCCTTTCCAGAAAGCATTGTCCCGATGCTTGTGTCGAACTGGTTGCATGGCAGTCATTCACAAACCCTCGTCGGGGATGTCGTTAACGTCAAAGAACGTTGTATCTTCGGCGTTTCATTGCCTGTCGTGATATGGTTTCATCATGGCGACATGGACAGTTTTCGTGCGATGCAGCCGTCGGGATGAAATATCCTGTCCCTCTGGCATAACTTCGTAGTTGAGCGAGCCGACGCGGAGGAGCTCTCTGTAGGGACTGAAATAGCGGCGAAGCAGTTTTTCTGACAGGCCACGTATTCGTACAGGAATCCACACCCATACTCTGTCTCCTGGTGCGTACTGGACATCTCTTCTTCGCAGATAGTATCGATGCGTGTTGGTTTTCTGCTGTTGGAGAATGCGATATCGTGCCAGCTGTCTGGCTTCTTCTGCTCTTTGTATGTAGTCGTGAACGTCATAGTAATTCTTGGGCGTCTCGTCAATAGGTAACATTGCATCTAAAGGAGTCGTTACCGTCCGGCCAAAAACAAGTTGGAATGGCGTCATCCGTGTTGTCTCTTGCACAACAGTGTTATAGGCGAATGTTGCATAGGGTAATATTTTATCCCAAGTACGGTGTTCTGTATCAATGTACATTGACAACATATCAGCCAGCGTTCTGTTCAGTCGTTCCGTAAGACCATTTGCTTGCGGATGATATGCCGTCGGTTTCCTATGACTGGTGTGCGTCAATTTCATAATACATTTCATCAGGTCGGCCATAAATGCAGTCCCTCGGTCCGTGATCAACGCTTTTGGAGCTCCATGCCACAGTACAATGTTGGAGACGAAGAATTCGGCTACTTCAACGGCTGATCCTTTAACAAGAGTCGCTGTCTCCGCATATCTGGTTAAATAGTCAGTCGCAACTATTATCAACCGTTTTCCCGATGACGACGTAGAAAATGGGCCCAGTAAGTCCATTCCCACTTGTGTGAATGGGGCTACTGGTGGTTCTATCGGTTGAAGGAGACCTGCTGGTTTTAGCGGTGGCGTTTTAGGCCTTTGGCAGTGCCGGCAGGTTCTGACATAGTGTCGTACAGAGCTAAGCAACTTCGGCCAGTAGTATTTAGTGCGGATGCGTGCTGACGTTCTGCTTACTCCTAAGTGTCCAGCTGATGGATCGATGTGGCAAGCCTCCAAAATCTCTGGTCGCAGAGGTGAAGGGACGACAAGCAGGAATGTCGCTGAATTGTTGTCAAAGTTCCTTTTATACAGGATGTTGTTTTGTAGGACGAACACTGACAAGCCGCGGACAGAAGGTCGTGGAACATCGACAGACTGTCCTTGTAGGTACTTGATCAAGAGGAGTATCTCAGGGTCGGATCACTGCTGATGTGCCACCTCTGATGGTGTCACAGCTCCCAAGAAAATAAAATCTTCACCATCCTCGGTGGAAGCAGAAGCAGCAGGTTGAATCAGAGCACGTGACAAGCAGTCCGCATCACTGTGCTTGCGACCTGACTTGTACACAAGCGTGATATCATACTCCTGTAATCGCAAGCTCCATCGTGCAAGCCGTCCACATGGGTCCTTGAGATTAGCCAGCCAGCATAGCGAATGATGGGCGCTTATAGCTCGAAAAGGCCTACCATATAAATATGGTCGAAACTTGTTGCTGATAGCCCATACCACCGGCAACGCGTTCTTTCTCGGTCGCTGAGTAGTTCACCTCAGCTTTCGAAAGAGTGCGACTGGCATACGCAATGACTCGTTCTTGCGTTTTGCCATTGAATGAGCTTGGCCCCAAGACCTAAATTGCTTGCATCCGTGTGGATATCGGTTTCCACTTTCTCGTCGAAATGCGCCAGAACAGGATGACTTTGAAGGCACTTTTGTAGTTCATTGAAGGCATCCTCTTGTTCGGCAAGCCATACGAAAGGCATTTCCGTTTTTGTCAGCCGCGTCAGTGGTTCAGCAATTTGTGAAAAATGTTTAACGAACCGTCGATAATAGGCACAGAGACCTAAAAATTGCATAACAGCCTTTTTGTCTGTTGGCTTCGGAAATCTTACTACGGCCTCAGTTTTTGCAGGGTCTGGGCAGACGCCTTCTGCACTGATGACATGGCCGAGAAAAAAGAGCTCACGGAAGCCGAAGTGACATTTGTGCGGTTTTATCGTCAAGTTCGCTGATTTGATCGCAGTGAGCACGGCCCGGAGCCTTTCCAAATGTTGCTCGAAGGTAGCAGAGAAGTCTACAACATCGTCGAGATAAACCAGGCATGACTGCCATTAAGCACTGTGTCCATGGTAATAAGGGCTGCAGCACGAGCACGAATATGCTAGAAGAAACAGACAAAAGGCGAGGCACGGAAAGCAAAGAGGACAACACGAGCGCTTCTCTTTGCTTTCCGTGCCTCGCCTTACGTCTGTTTCTTCTAGCACATTCGTGCTCGCGCTGCAGCCCTTATTACCATGAATTCAAACCAACTAGCCCAAATAGCCATTCTTCTTCACTGTGTCCATCATCTGTTGGAATGTGGCGGGTGCTGAACAAAGGCCAAAAAGGAGTACCTTGAACTCGTATAAACCATCCCGTGTCACAAACACTGTCTTTTCGCGATTTCTTTCGTCAACTTCTATCTGCCAATACCCACTTTTAAGATCCAATGAGGAAAAATACCTGGCATTTCGCAGCCTATCCAGAATGTCATCAATTCTTGGCAGAGGATAAACATCCCGTTTGGTGACGGCATTCAGCTTCCGATAATCAACGCAGAAACGTAAGGTTTGGTCTTTTTTCTTCACAAGAACAACGGGTGACGCCCATCGACTTGATGAAGGCTGGATTACATCGTCTTTGAGCATTTCTTTAACCTGATTACCAATAGCTTCTCTTTCTCTTGGTGACACTCAGTAGAAATGCCAG